GAAACCGGGTTTCGGTACCCGTGGTGGGCAGAGCACAAATAGCCCATTGTATAGCTTTGTACTTAATTTCAAACAAATAAGTATGTTTATTATTACCGATATCTATATTCTTAATTAATTATAAATACTGAGTAATTTATTTAATGAAATAGTCGTTTGGTTAATCATTGTTTTCACTGAGCTGGAAATAAATCTTAATTTTATAACAGATTTATGCTATTTAGATATAGCACATAGAAAGGTAAATCTGAACAAAAAATCTGATTTGAAATATTTTATAAACTTTAACGAAATTATCAATAACTGCATTATTAGGTTGATTAACCAGCTTTAATGTTTGTGTACTATTACTTTGATTAATCGTAAGTGATGCATAAAACTTTTTACAAATAATAAACCTGAAATTACAATTACCTTTATGTGTGCGAACAATTACATTTTTTTTCTTGCAATTGTTGGCTTTTTTTTTAATTTAAAAAACATTATATCAACTGGATACTTTTCAAAAATTATTTGAGAAAGTGTAAATTTTTCTTTCTTAAGCACATAATTTGTTATTATTGTTGGGCTATGTGCTGTGTCCACCGCAGTGAATCGAACCCCGTACTTTAACTTTGTAAGTTCGTAAACTTACCTCTGACCCATTAAGTACATAAAGCTTCAATTCCAAAAACTATCTAGGCGGATAAGATGTAACAAAAATCAGTTTCAAGATGTACTCGTTAATGTTGTTTTCAATTAATTTTAAAACATCTAGTTCAAATATCTCGGTAGGAATTTTATTCTAGTATAACTTGTCTGTTGTGCTACTAATATTACCTAATAATTGGAGCTTCTACTACCATAATGGACGCTTGAATGCCAACTTCAGAAGATATTGTTTTCTTTTTCACCACCCAAATGGTAGAAACATATTTCTTTCTTCCTACAACTGTCTGCAGACAGTTAAGGATAATATAGATGTGGAACATTGTAGGCTTAATTACATTTACTCACATCTTGCTCTCTTGTTTTATTCTTTACATGTGAGGCTTTACGACTGGAATTAATACAGATGCACGGTGTATCGCCATCGCTATGTAGATTCGACTTCCGCAGTAACCTCAAAGAACCAGGACAGATCTTATATCTCACATTATGGCCTGTGTCCTCTTTACTTTATTTTAATTACGCGTTTTTTATTATTAAGGCTTGTTTTGTTATATAAATTCGTTCTATTTCATCATACATTTGGTCTTGCTGTTTTTAACGCAGCCCTTCCTTTTTGATGTAAATATTAACCTAACTGTTTAAATAATATACGATTAACAACAATGCTGAAAAATATTTTATTGTTGATGTTATACAAAAACTAACTTTCAAAGAATCATCCTAAAGTTTAGTATAGTTCAAGAGTTCTACCAAATTACATCCATAATAACATCATATTGAACAGTGAATGATAGTAAAAGCATGACCAGGTGGTTAGGGAGGTCGACTCGCAATCTACGGGTTCGAATCCCCGTCCCACCAAACATGCTCGCCCTTTCAGCCGTGTGGGCGTTATAATGTTACGGTAAATCCCACTATTCGTTGGCGGTGGGTGGTGATGACTAGCTGCCTTCCCTCTAGTTTTACACTGCTAAATTAGGGACGGCTAGTGCAGATAGCCCTCGTGTAGCTTTGCGCGAAATTCAAAAAACAAACAAACAATGATAGTAAGACCACCCTTACTGAACGGTGAAGAATTGTATAAATCACCCTTAACAAACATTGGACGATATTTATACCTACAAGTATAATAAAAAATATATATATTTTATAAAGACAAGTGGCGATCTCTATATACTTAATCTAGCTAGCTATAGTAATATGGAAAGTTTTAATGCTACAAAAAGTATTGAAACAAGAAAGTCAAAACTATAAAACTGATACTTTTTTAAATTTTAAGTAACTCAGTTTTTGTAGTTTTGACTTTATTTTTTCAATACTTTTGGTAACATTAAAACTTTCTGTATTGCTATAGCTAGCTAGGTTAGGTACATGTATATATAGATTCCTACTTGTCTTTATAAAATTTGTATATTTTTATTACACTTGTTTGTTTCCTTTTTATTAACCATATTTTTGTGCGCCAGCAATACCAAACGTGGAGCGCGTGTATACTCTATTCGATTTTATTGCTCATCGGAATTTCTACCAACCTACCCTGAAATCCGTTTTTTTCTTTATATACTAATACCATTTTCGGCACAAGAAGGGAATCATTGGGACCCCATACGGAAGAGTTCTGTGAAAAAATTAGAACCATAAGGTTCGCTTTTTTTTCTTTTTTTTTTCCTTTCTGTACGCTTGTCTGGAAAAGTCACTTACTTACTTATTTAGATGAAAATTCGTTAAAATAATGAAATTTTGATTAATTCCATAAACACGTGTATAGCAATTTAGGCGGTGTTGGAGGAAGATAAGGCTTTTTTTTCAGCCAATACTGTGTAGTAGCAATTGTTAATATTGAGACATTTTAAAGGTGGTTTTAAACGGGCCATATTTAAGGCCGCCATTTTGTTTCATCACATAACTTACTATTAAGTACTACCGTACTTAATGATAACTTGCAAGTTTATTTAATGTGCTTACAGATACATATAAATTCTTTCATCCCAAAGTTACTTACCTTTAACCTTATGTTTAAATTAACTTTTCCCAAGTTCCTTGTGGGTGTAAACTTAACTAATAATTAATTAAAACATTATATTTTCTATTCTATTCTCAATCCTTACTTGCACTGATTTTTCACACAGTTGGCAGAAAACTTGAAGAATATACTGGCTTTTTATATGCTAAGCCTTTAATTGTTTATTTGTTTGCTTTTAACTGTCTTTAACAAATCTACTCTAAAAGTTATTTACATGGCTCAATAAATATGGGAAAACATCGGTATGATTTACTGGATGCTCGAGTTCTGTCAAATCACAAAGACACACGAACATTTTCGGAATGTAGTTTCCCTCTTCAAGAGTAAAAGCGCTCGTTCTATCGCGTTTCTTTTCATTGCAATTTATCGTGTTATTATTTCTTCCGTTTTTCATAACTAATAAGTAGAAGACCACCTTTAAATAAGAAGTTAATGCAGTTACAACTAAGTAAGACAATCTAGGAAGGTCGATCAGTTGATTATTTTAAAATTTTCTTTTAACTATTCTCCTATTATCTAAGGGATATCTTGTAGGCTATTATTTGTAGACAGACCATGAGACGAGGAGCTAGACGGACTTCTGACCATATTGAAATATGAGCTTTGGTTAGGAGTGGCGCTGCTATTCTTGTAATGTATTTATTTAGTAATGATGATGACGGTTGATCCATTGCTAGTATTTATTTAGTTTCACAAGTTCCTTAAAGTACGAATAACCAGATTTAAGCACATGATGATAAAACTTTCTTTATTAACGTTGTCCTATTGACAATGCACGTTCAGAAGATGATGTAGTTAAATATTAGCTGAGCAAAATCATCATTATATACATTATTATTTCAAGCTGCATTGTTTCACTTCGTTGTTTGTTATCGACATATTATTCATCAAACTGTCATTCAAATCATACGTGGTGAACTGACTAGCAACATTCGAAAATAACGCCCACCCCCAAAATATAAACAACGTAAAAGTGTCATAAAAAGGGATGTTCAAGATTACAAAATAGCAGATTATAATAACCATGAAAGTGGAGGGTGATTTTAAGTTGAAAATAAATTGTAAAAAAGTTATATATATAATCTTGACACAAGCTGGTCTAATAAGCCTTTATACTTGTCGAAACTAAAGCCGCTAGCTAACAGCGGTAATGGTTTTTGTAGCTATATTAGTTATTTGTTGCAATTGTACAAATGTTGTTTTGTATAAAGATGCGGGAAAGGACCATAGAGAGTCATGGGCTCTTTTTTTTTTCTTTAGTAAAAGAAAGCCCTTTGTGGTACTACAGGATGTTAAGCACATAAACTGAAAAAAAAAATGGTCAAGTACTTAATCGTAGAAACAACTTCAAATATAATGAAGCTTTTTTTATCTAAACAACTGAAGTACTGTAGAATTTTACATTTTAAGCGAACATTTAAACTACAAAACTTAATAAATGATTTCTTGTTTTTATAAGTATGCCAATGTCGCGACTATTATTTAGTCCTAAGTATTTAAACAAAATGCAATATCAAGATAAAATCTAAAAGTGAAATTCTCCCATTTAATAATTCAAATTAATTCAATAGATGGCAATACTCTCATTATATAAATTTTAAAATGAGTGGTATTTAGTTTTGTATGAATAATTTATTGATTACAAATACGCTATTGTATAGTGTTAAATATTTCAATGGATTAAATTTATAACAAACTTCTACCTGTCGTCCTAACTAACACTTTCTGTGACAAGATCCCCAGAAGTAGTAAAAACGAATCATTAGATTACCATGGACCCTCAAAATCTCTTAACATAAAACGAGTCGTACTATTAGTAAATCATCTAACAATTATTAAAAACTTTTTCTGGTATTTCATAACCTGAAATAATTCAATATTCCCACTTTATTATAGTGATTATTAATATTAAGTTTTCTCAATGTTTTTCATACAATTTTTTTAAACAAGAACGATGGACCATGTTTTAAGATGGAGTACCAGTTATATTTTAATTCATGATAATTTTATCAGGTACAAGTTGTTTCTTTGTCATGGCTTACTAAATACAGTTTTCATACGCCATTTTTTCTGCAAGCGTTATAAATATTTTTCACATAAGACGAATATTATTTTTAATTGTTTTACATGAATACACGGAACCATTTTTTTGTATAAGTAATTATTTTATTACTTGATTGGAATCATAATAATAAAAAAATTGAGAACACAGCAATGTAACAATTAAAGTTGAAAAAGTGCTAGAAATTCAAATTCAATGTAACAGCAGATACTTCAACAAAATAAACTCAAAATTGTGAAAAACTTGGTTACTCTTCTTTTTTTGGGAAAATGGTCACTGTTCTTCAGGGATGAAATTCCTGTCTTATGTCATTGTATGTCTTAAAATTCTGAAAGGTGGAAATATTTATGAATAAATAAATCTTCTAGACAGTTTAGAGGTATTGACACTTAAGTATTGTCATTAACCCTTGTATAAAACATTCAAGGTAAGAAAAGTATATTAAAAAGCTTAATTTCTCTCTTTTTTTTTATTCCTTTAGATTAGTGTTCCCAAAACTATGGTTCGCCAACCCTTTGATTCAGGGGTTTCTGGGAAAAAATTCTGTAATGACAGAAGCAAATGTGTTTGCGAGCATTCATTACACTGAGTAGATTATAACTTCAAGACTCCTCATGAGAAATGGAAAGGTAATGGGTTATTTTTTGCTGTTCATAAAATTAAATATACTGCTAGTGTTGTTTTTTAAATGAAGATGAAGAACATGTTTAGGCTTAGTCAAAGTGGTACGAGTTACGAAAGTGAAATTTTGGAAGAGTGTTGCTGTTTTCATAATGTAATAAAATTAATAATGTAAAGATAGATAATAATATAATAACAAATAGTTTGTAATAAAAGTGTCATAAAAAACATATTTTATATTTCAGAGATCACTGTTTATTAATTCATACTCGGATAAGTTAGAAAACCCCTGGAAAATATTTAATTTTGGGAGGGAGTTCGGCATTTTCACAAAAGAGGTTCACGACATGTTTAAAGAGCTAAGATAAAAGAAAATCAACGTAATAGAAGGTTAATTTTATTGAAATGATTTTTAATTTTAACTTTGAGGTTTCAGTAGTTTCGTAGTATTACAGAAAACAAGCAGCAGTAAATATTTCATGTCCATATTAGGTGTCTCCAAGCTTACCTAATTTAGTTTCACATCTACAGATAAGACAAAGAAATGATTTACCTGTATAATTCTACATTAATTTTAGTCTTGATGAGTTAGTCAGTGCTTATCTTTGATTGCAAGATTTTAATGTTTGTTTTTATTTGGAGTGTTCCCAATACTTTCTACATTCTAAATGTTTACAAATATTGTCTTAACTAGAAGTTATTATTGTGATTCAATACTTTTGTTATCATACACCACTTCATCAAATTTGATACCTATATTTGTTTAATTCAATCTAATCTACTTCCCATGAAGCAACTTTGTTAATATCAACCACAAAACTTACACCTGATTCTTAATATTTTTGTTCAACTAAGACAAGTAGTGATTTATAGATACCAGACTTACCTGAAACATATATTATACCTGTGGATGTTGATTTCAGTCATGCTACCAGGATACACAATAGCCTCACCTGGGATACAAAGCTGTTTTAATGGACACCAGCCTTAACTGGGATATAAAGTATTTTAATGGACACCAGCCTCACCTGGGATATAAATTATTTTAATGGACACCAGCCTCACCTAGGATATAAAGTGTTTTAATGGATACCAACCTCACTTGGGATATAAAGTATTTTAATGGATACCAGCCTTAACTGGGATATAAAGTATTTTAATGGACACCAGCCTCACCTGGGATATAAAGTATTTTAATGGACACCAGCCTCACCTGGGATATAAAGTATTTTAATGGACACCAGCCTTAACTGGGATATAAAGTATTTTCATGGACACCAGCCATAACTGGGATATAAAGTATTTTCATGGACACCAGCCTCACCTGGGATATAAAGTATTTTAATGGACACCAGCCTCACCTGGGATATAAAGTATTTTCATGGACACCAGCCTTAACTGGGATATAAAGAATTTTAATTGACACCAGCCTCACCTGAGATATAAAGCTGTTTTAATGGATACCAACCTCACTTGGGATATAAAGTATTTTAATGGACACCAGCCTTAACTGGGATATAAAGTATTTTAATGGACACCAGCCTCACCTGGGATATAAAGTATTTTAATGGATACCAGCCTTAACTGGGATATAAAGTATTTTAATGGATACCATCCTCACCTGGGATACAAAGCTGTTTT